GCCCATCTTATATCTTCTTCTTCTTCTTCTCCTCTCATTCAACAGCTCTATTTCAGCAAACACCCACTACTGTTTGTCAATTTATGTTAGTGGTAGTTGGTAGTTATTTTCTGTTTCTATTATTTCTTAGCTTATGTAAGCAGTAGGGGTAATTCTGGTTTTTTACCCTGTTTAAACTATTAATATAAATAGCTGAGTGGGGTGACAATCTTAGTTATGACCCACACTCTTTTTTGACTTTCTTCTCTTCGTCTTCTCCTTCTCTTCCTCTTCTCTTATTCTCAACTTTCTTTCTTGTTTATTTTACATTACAACTAGGACTGATTGCAGTCTTACTAGACAAGTAAACTAACTGGAATTTTTGCTGAGTTTATGCATTAAACATGGGCAGTACTTTGATGTTTGCTCACCTTGCAATATCTAGAATTTTTTACTCATATAGTTGGGTTCAACTATGATACTGGAAAGACATGATGCTGAAAAAACTTACATCCAATCAACCAGTACTCTAAAAGAAGTGACCGATCAGGTGGTGTTCATCACAATTCATAGAGATCCTTTGATTGGTCAAAGCTCTTCATGTACCATGCCTTTCCAGTATCATAGATTTTCTCCGTATAGTTACTATTCATCATATAATTTGGCTATAAATGCAGAGGCTCAGTTTGGGAAGAGTACAAATACAAATATGCATAGTGCGAAACCATGTATATTGTATTTCTACACCTTGTATTTACACTGTACATACTTGTATTTCTACTCTTCCCAAACTGATCTCTAAGGGCCATTACCCTTGTTGGTGCCAGCTATAGTTGCAATTTATAATGATTCATTTGTTATTATTTTTTCAAACAGCTATGATAACAAAGACGTTGCATTAACTTGTGGAATTATGTTGAGAGAATGCATCAAGCATCCAACCCTTGCAAAGTAAGACCTTTTAACTTCTCTATTTTTTTTTTTTGTGAATTTTTGCATTGCAAATGCCTTGTCTCAATATTTTGTTAATTAGCGAATAAAAGGGTGACCCAGTGCATGAGTCTCCCACCAATGCAGGGTTTGGGGAGGGACAGATTTGCGCAGCCTTACCCTTATAGTATTGCTATTATAATCTGGCCAAATGGCAATTATATCATAAAGAAGAATCTATAGATAAGGGAAAATACTAAAAGGAAAAGGAAGAATAAGAAGAATTGGGTCAAATGAACCCTTATGCATACCTATTAACCTAACATAAGAAAGTAAAAAAGGAAAACCTTATTTAGAAGTGGGTTATTCCATTTGTACCTTTTCTATTGTTTTTGATAAAAAAAAACTAAATAGGGTATTCATAAGCTGCTGTATGGAGAATATAAGAACGTGTGGTAAATATCTCTAGCTACCTATGCTGTTCATATGGTTCTTTGGCCCTTTACCTGAAGTAATGTTTAACTTCTTTGTGTTAGCAGATAATAATTTATATAGCACACAAAACCACCTCCCAATGGGGGTGGAGGAGTAATAGAGAGAGGGGCCTTTATAGTAATGATTACCATAGTTCACAGTTTCGATATTGGTAGATATTTTTCCAAATAGAGTTGGAGATATTTCGCTAAGCACTAAGATATGTGGAAAATGTGGAACTAGTTAATAAACCTTCGACAAATCATTAGAAGAAATATAATTGCACATATAAGGCTAAAAAAACCATAGCAAAGAACTTTTTCAATCAAATAGCAGAAATTAAGAGATTGTAATAGGTATCTTTCTCTCTCTCCCTTTTTGGTCTTTAACCATCTCCTCTTTCTCCAATATGTCAGTTATTTGTCATTTTCACTTTTGTCTTTGTTTTTACTATATATTTTGATTAGATTGAGAATACTCTTTTGTAGTTATATGCATTTTTTTTTAATTTTGAGTTATAGAGACTTACAAAGTGAATCATATCAAAATAACAAGCTATAAGCCAATTATCACAAACTGTTGTTGGTTCTTTTTGGAAAATATTTTTTTTTTTTCAAAAAGAATGATTATTTTAATGAAATATCAAAAAGCTTTTAATAATATTTCTACAATTTTAATCCTTAAATATATAGTCAATCAATGAAATCTGAAATATCACAAACATAATGAGAAAATATCAGGGATATTTCACTTTCTAGAAAAATGGGGATATTTTAGGAAAATTCCATATTTCAAGTGTTAGAGTTAGCCGAATAAGGGTAGATTAGTCAACTCACCTTGGTTAAGTTATGAGCTTATGTGGCAGTCTTATTAGAGGTTCTCTGTCCCATACTTAA